CTCCCAAAAAATGATACACTCCCAATTTCAAGGCCACCCGCAATTAACACATGAACTCTGCAGGGTCAGTTTCCAACTGTGAAACGCTGATAGCTGCTCTTTGTCTCCCTCAAACCTCCCTGGATAGAGGTTGAAACAAACAGACTTTGAATTTAAAAATGATTACATACAATGGGCCAGCCAAGGGACAGGCCAAGTTTGATAGAAGTATGACTGCTGTGTGCCTGTCTCTTACCAGCATCCAGAGAATGTGGGCCGGTGTGGAGCTTCAGAGGTGCACAGGAATATATTCATGAGTCTACAAATAACTGATCTGCCAAGTGAGATGACCCGTGCCTGTAATCCCAGCACCCTGAGAGTTCAAAAAAGCAGGAGTTTCACAAGTTCGAGGCCAGCCTAGACTTCGTAGCCTCCAAGCATAAAGTATTTTTGTTTTTGCACGTGTTACACTGAACCCTGGTGGATTTGGAGCCCAGACCTCGTCCCCATTCCCACAGTCTGCTTCTCTACCCTGTCTGCCCATGTATACTGTAGTTTAAGCAGAGTCTTGACAGTGAGATTTTGGGCCCACAACTTAATGAAAGGAAATGCTTGGATACAAAGTGTCCCCTAACACCAGCTTGGTCTCCAGCCTGTGGATCATGAAAGAATAACTTATCACTGGTTGTCTGTCACCACTACTAAGTTCCTCCAGAATGAGCTATCAGAAAGTAGGGCCTGTTTGGACTTCTTTTTTTTGGGGGGGGGGTGTTCAAGACAGGGTTTCTCTCTGTGTAGCCCTGGCTGTCCTGGAACTCACTCTGTAGACCAGGCTGGTTTCGAACTCACAGAGATTCACCTGCCTCTGCCTCCCATGTGCAGGAATCAAAGGCAAGTACCACCCTCAAAAGGCTGTTTGGAAAAAGCAGATCACTGAGGGCAGATCTGTGATGAGTCAGTCTGTCTTTCCTTCCCTCTTCTCCACCCTCTCCTTCCTGGATATCATAAAGTGAATTGTCCCTATACCTCTGTCATGAACACAGACCACAGCCATGGAGCAAGGCAACCACACAGAAACCAGGAAGCAAAGCAAATTTGGTAGGCCCTGTACTCAGGCCAGGAAGGAAATGGGGTTAAGGTCTCCCTCCGCCTTGGTTTGCCTGAAAGTAGGGTATAAAGACTCACATGCAGAGAACACCAACTGGGCAAGGCAAGGGAGGCCTAGGCTTACATGACAGAATTCCAAGAAAGAAGGAACTTTCTGGGCTTTAGACCCTGGCTCAGCTGCCAGTCCCTGATAGAACAGACAACTCCAGTATCTGCACCACCTCTAGAGTTTACACACAGTCCCTCTGTCTGGTCTCTTCCTACCTCCCTGCCTTGTCTGGGCTCCCTGAGGTGGAGCTCGGCCTTCCTCATGGCTCATCTCCGGATTCCTAAAGCTCTGACTTCCAGAACAAACACATAATGACTAAATTCAATTTTTCACTTCACAGAAGTGACGGGCTCCCCGCTGTGCCCTAAGGAATGAGTGAGAATTGAACAGATGGAAGAGATAGTTGAGGATGAGCCGGTAGACAGGAGTGAGGAGAGATTTTTAGATGTGGGGAGGAAATGGTGGGTGACAGACCATTAAAGGACATTACAGGCATATGTGTTGGAGATGGACTCAGCGCTTACGGCAGCCTGTCACTAGTGTGGCTTCAGGGCCAGTGTCAGGGCAAGGTAAAGCTCTTGCAGGGACCTCTGGGTGTCCACAGTGGAGGCCAGTCCAGCTGGTTAGAACCAAAATTCTCAGGCTTTCTCCCATTACAAAACGGTGACGTGATGTTCTCACCCATAGTGTGCAGGCCTGTCATTCCAGCATTTGGGACGTTGAAGCAGAAGGATCAAACAGCAAGTTGAGGCTTGCCTGGGCTACCGGGAGAGCACCTGCATTTAGAAAGTTTAAATGCACCTGAATTTAAAAGACAGTTCATCCCTGACAGGATTCTTGTTTTGTTTTGGAGACAGACTCTCACTCTGTAGATCAGGCTGGCCCTGAACTCACAGCAATCCTCCTGCCTCAACCTAAGTAATAATATTACAAGTATGAGCCACTATGTACAGCCTTATAGTTTATCTTATTTATTTGGGATTTTTGTTTTGTTTTGATTTGGGTTTTTATTTATTTGGGTTTTTGTTTTGTTTTCATTTGGGTTTTTTGTTCTGTTTTGATTTGATTTTTTGAGACAGGGTTTCTCTGTATAGCCTTAGCTATCTTGGAACTTGCTCAGTAGGCTGGCCTTGATCTCACAGAGATCTGCCTCCCTCTGCCTCCCAAGTGCTGAGATTAAAGGTGTGCACTACCACAGCCTGACACATTTTTTTTTTAAACAAAATCTACAACCAAGAACCTAAATGTTTAGCATGAACTGAGGAATGTGGTTCTCTTCACAGGCTTCAGACTGAGAACTCAAAAGTAAGGACGACAACATGGAGGCCATTTAGGTCATCCCTTAGGCTCATGACAGAAGCAGTTCAGGTAGCAGCAGCCTGCTCTGTGTGCTGCACCTAATGCCCTGGGTTCCCTGTACCACAAAAGGGAGGGAGAGAGGGAGTCAAGGAGAGAGGAGGGAAGGGACTGGGGGTGGGGGTAAGGGGAAGAGAGAGAGGTGGGAGGAGGAGGGGGTCAAGCCCAGCAGCAGAGGAAAGAGTGGGAAACTGAGGCATAAATAGCTCCTGGCGAAGGACCATCCACACCCACCACAGAAATGCCCAGCTACCTCTCCAGATCCTTACTGATTGGGACCTACTGTGGTAGTTTGACAGAAATGTCTCCCATAGGTTCATATATTTGAACGCTTGGTCATCAGGGAGAAACTACTTATTTGCATCTACTACAAAATGTTATGATATACCCCACATCAAAACCATACAGCCTGGGCGGTGGTGGCACATGCTTTTAATCCCAGCACTCAGTAGGCAGAGGCAAGAGGCAGCCAATCTCTGAGTTCAAGTTCAGCCTGGTCTACAAAGCAAGTTCCAAGAAAGTCAAAGCTACACGGAGAAACTTTATCTCAAAAAGCATTCACGTCCACTTCCAAAATTAGGTTTGCAGCTCAAGCTCCTTGCTATTTATTTTTGGTGGGGATGGATGAGGAGCATTGCTGGGGATTAAAGCCAGGGTCCTGCTAAGCCTGATCACCACTGAGTTCAACCCTCAGCTCTCCTATGCTCTTTACTTACACCACCTTCTGTCATCACATCACCAAAACATCTGCCCTAGATCAAACGTTTAATATTCTTCTCAACAAATTCTCCTTTCGAAGACTCCCCTGTTTCTCCAGTTCAAGAACACAGTGAAGGGAGCAGGTAAAAGCGCCTTGGCCTGAGTACTGCCATTTTGACTTCTGGGTGAAATAAGTTCAGGTTCCCAAGCCCTAGGGAAGCTGAGGACTGTCCATGGCTGACCAACCTCCTCCTTGAGCCATAGAAATAGTCGTTGTTATGCATCTTCAGTTCTCTAGAAACATGACTGTTCGTAACCACAGAAGGAACAAATGAATCTGATTGGTTGGACTGAAAAGTTTACATTGTATGTTGGTTGACAATGATGGAACACACAAGGAAAGTCCCTAATCTTTCATTTCTGATTGGTAGAAATTATAACTGTAACTTGGCAACAACCGTTTGTGATTTTGGTACTTATAAACCCGGCTTCTGCCCCTGCTTGGGGCTGTCAGGAGAAACAAGGCTCCCAAGTCCTTGTCCCGAAGCCCTGATGCACCAGCAACCCCCTTATGAGGTAAATTATTAAAATCTTTGGAACCCTTAAGTGTTGTCTATCTCCTTCGTGTTGCGAAACGGGCTAGGTGTGTAACCACAGAAATTCTAATTATTCAAGCAAAGAATACTGTGATTGGCCAGAAGTCATCTGTTTTTCTCACACTGAACATCCATCCACTACAGCAGGAAAAAAAAAAAAAAAAAACTGTTTTCAAAATATATCCAGGATTTAGTAAGATGTGGAGAGCAGACAGAAGGATCACTGAAAGTTTGAGGCCAGCCTAGTCTACACAGTTGCAGTCCGTGTGTGTGTGTGTGTGTGTGTGTGTGTGTGTGTGTGTCTCGGAGCAGGTGGTGGAGCACATCTTTAATCCCAGCACTTGGGAGGCAGAGGCAGGCAGGCGAATCTTTGAGTTCGAGGCCAGTCTGGTCTACAGAGCGAGTTCCTGATCTACAGAGGACTGCTATATAGTGAAACTTATCTTGGAAAACCAGAAAAGAAAAAAGAAAAAAAAAAAAACTTTGATTGGGCTTGTTGTAGTTTCTTGTCAAACCATAACGTAAAGGCTAAGAAATAACCGGTGGATTTGGCCAAATGGAAGTCACAGGCACCGTTCGCGAAGTTGCTGTCACTGGGGTGGGAGGTCAGGGTGAGCACCGCAACCTGACTGGCTCCACTCCGCAGGGACTCCTGTAAGCGCCTCCTCAGTCCCCCAGTAACTCACCTATTCCGAGCCTTTACATTTTTGTTGTTCCTTCCACTTGAACCACCCTCCCTCCAGACATCCACGTGTTCCTATTCCTCCAGAATTCTGCAAAAATGAGCTTCTAAGCTATTTTAAATAGTAGCCCCTCCCCTCGATCTCCCTACTTCTCGCTAGGTTCCTTGTGTCACTATCTTAATGTATCCGTTTGCTGGACTTCTCTCCACTCACGAGAGCTCTGCGAGGACAAGGCTTTGTTTTGACACCAGTGCCACTTCAAACTAGAGCGTCTGACAGTGGATATTCGGTGTAAACATCAGTTCGATTAACAGTCAGGGACTGGAACGCAAAACGCTACCATCAAGAACGTGAGCGCACGCTCAACTTCAGGACTTGCGCTCTAGAGCTCCCGCGAGTTCCAGCGCCTCCTAACCGAACGCCCCTTTCTTAGGAGACATACGGTAGGGCTTCCGCCCGGGTTCAACCCTCACTCAAATCCGGGGAAGGAGGGGCGGAGGGTTATGTCATCCTTCCGCGCCGGCTTGCCCCGCGACGCGCCGCCGGCTGGCGCAGCCCTTCGCTCGCCCGGCCTCCCCCTCCCTGGTTCCGCGCTCGGGTTCCGCCATGGAATCCAACAAGGATGAAGCCGAGCGCTGTATCAGCATCGCCCTCAAGGCCATCCAAAGCAACCAGCCCGAGCGGGCGCTGCGCTTCCTGGAGAAGGCGCAGCGGCTATACCCGACGCCACGAGTCACCGGTGAGTGGGAGGCGCCGCAGGGACCGAGGGGGACATTAGCGCGGATGGGGGCAACACGGGAACGGACCGACGGGAGCAGTTGGCGGAGGGGGAGGGGTGGTGAGGCGCGGCTACGCCTGCGCACTGCTGCGCGCGGGCGCTGCTGGGATTCGTAGTCCCTCCGTCTCGCGCCTCGGTGGGATGCTGGACCCCCGGAGACCTGCGAGGGCCTGGCTCGCAGGCCTTTTCAGTGCTTGTGAACCCCTCTGGAATGTGAGGTTTCTGGGACGGAGATGCGCTGCGAGACCAGGCCAAGAGAACGCACGTGAAAGCGAAAGAAAACTACTTTTCCCAGGGGGCTGTTCGATGGCCCAGGGCCAGTGGCCGGCCTGGGAAATATTATAGTTCAGGAAAATAAACATAACTATTCTAAGGGAGAATGGGGTCTAGAGAGGGAGGGAATTCCTAGAAAGGCACCTTCTGATCTTCATTCGCTCGAATCACAGAACCCTTCGAGAAATAAGCCACTCCACCTCCGAGTATATATCATGCACTCTTTTGAACGCAGAGTTTCAGGGTGAATGGATTGTTGAAGATCCCAGGCTCAGCCACCCCATCCCACCTTCGCCTCCAGCAGGCCTGGGTATCGGGTCTTACGGACTGCTACGGCTGCTGGGTACCAGCCTAGGGCCGAGAGTTCCCAAACCAAAGAGGGAATAGTGAGCTTGTCTCTGCTACCCATCGTCTCACTTTACTTGGTATTATTATTGCTGCTGTTGTTGTTGTTTTCCGAGACAGGGTTCCTCTGTGTAACAGAGGCTGTCCTGAAACCCGCTTTGTAGGCCAGGCTGACCTCCAACTCTCAGAGATCCGCCTCCCTCTGCCTCCCAAGTGCTGGGATTAAAGGTGTGCACCACCACCGCCCGGCAGTCCCCTCCTTTTATGTGTCCGTAATCTGAGTTCCCAAAGGAAATTTAAATGCCATCCGGAAAGGAGAACGACACAGGGTTTGTGTCAGTGGACTTAGTAAACCCTGACGAGTAGCAGAGTTAAGGGACCCACATCTTATTATGATTGCTGTCTTGTGACTTTGGTGAACTCAGGTTTCCTCACCTGCAAGGGAGTTGGAGCAGATAATGTATATAACAAGAATACCCATAGAGCTTTTCAGTGTAGAAAGTTCTTTCCCATCTGTTTTGTCACCTGATCCTGTCTTGTGAGAAAGACAGAGAACTCTGTCCTTATATCTTCGGGAGATGAGAAATCTCTCAACGATAAGGGACTCAGGATATGACACAACTAGGAACTGGAAAGCTCTGAGGCTCCATAAATGTTTATTAAAATGAAATGAAGAGCCGCGGCCTGCCCCTCACCTGCCCTGCCCACGTTTGGAAATAGAGAAAAAGGAGTGCTGGCCGACAGGGCAGCCTGATTCCTGAACTTTCCTCCCTCCTCCACTTTGCAGGTTGATCTTTGATCTGTTTGCCTCCTCTAGGAGAGGGTTTCAGTCTGTATTTACCAGGACTGCTCCAGTAACTTGCTCAAGGTGCTCCCCTTTGGGATAATTGCCTCTTTATAAATGGAGAGCATGGTGGGGTGTGGACTGTCAGAATTCCACCTGATTGCTGCTGGGAGCTAAGGAGCCATTGAGAAAGCTGATGAAACAGGGCCTATAGGGCATGGCAGAAACCACCTGTGCTAGTTCAGGAACTTGGACAGGGTATCCTTCCAGGGCTTTGCCGTGTGTGTGTCTGTGTGTGTGTGTGTGTGTGTGTGTGTGTGTGTGTGTGTGTGTCAGAGTCAGTTGTGTCCTTCCATCTTGTGGGTCCCAGGGATGGAACTTGGGTAGTTGGGCTTGGCAGTTAAGTACCTTCACTGGCTACCAGTTGGACATTTGTTATGTCCTTGCTGGATAGAATATATGCCTCATGTGCATGAATTAACAGCAGCCTTGCACTGAACTGACAAGGATGTATGGCTAGTATAGGCCTGGGCTAGGGAAATGTTGGTTAAAAAAATACTAGGTAGCTGTCTACACTGAATGTTTTGGATAGGAGTTCATTCCGGGTGTTCATTCAACACAACAGGTTGCTACAGATATGGTGGCCCATGCCTGTGATCCCTGAGCTCAGGAGGCTGTAGCAAGAGAATTGCCTCAGGTTTGAGGTCATCTGGGCTGTATAGCAAGACCTTGTCTTAAAAAAAAAAAGTAACTGGTATTGATAATCTTTTTTGTTTGGCCTACAAAGTTCACTGCTTGATGCCAAGTGGTTCAGCAGGATTTGCAAGATCCTAAAGGAAGCAAACATCCAGAGGAAAAAAGATTGTAAGGCAGGTGATAACAGTGATTTAACAGAAAATAGGCACAGTTGGTTGTTTAGGTGCTGAGAGCTTAAGGGTAGTTATGAAAAAGTTTAGTCCCTACCACTTGAGAGTTCCCAGTCTTGGGGGATGGGAGGGTGTGAAGGATAATCTCCCAACCAGTATATTGTATAAGCTGTTGGGAGCCCTGTAATGATGTTATCTCACAGAGGAAAGGGCTGCAGGCTGTAAGAACTGAAGCAACAACCATAGCTGGGTGGTGGGTGGTGGCACACTCTCTTTAATCCCAGCACTCCGGAGGCAGAGGCAGGCGAATCACTTGAGTCCGAGGTCAGCCTGGCCTACATAGTGAGTTCCAGGACAGCCAGGGCTACACAGAGAAACCCTATCTCAAAGAAAAACAAACAAACAAAAGAGGCAATATTCAAACATCCAGTTTGTTGGAAGAGATAGGAGAAGACCTGGAGGCCAGGAGTTTGAAGGGTCTGGGCAGGGATTTTGTACAGGGACATTTAGAGACAAGTGAAGTGGGGATTTACAGAGAATTCAAGTCAGAAAGTGGGATGGGCAGACCATTGGACTCCTTTCCAGTCAAACCAAGGTCTTTCATGCTATTCGTATAGAGGGAGCTAGAGAGGGTTTGCTCTGTCTGAGAGGCAACCGAGTCCATGGAACCTGCACAATCACTTGAAAGCTAGAGGACCAGGCATAACAAAGGCAGCCTTGGGCTAGAAGAGACCCCAAAGGAGAAAGGGTTCTCAAAAGAAACCGCATGAGGCCAGGTGTGATGGTGCATGCCTATAATCCTGGCAGTGAGGAAGTTGAGGCAGTAGATCGTTTGAAGCCACCCTGGACGATATCACAGTGAGATTCTGTCTCCAAAAGGGGGTGGGGGAGGTGAGCCAGTAAGAGGAAAGGAGAGAAAAATGAGAGAGAGAACGAGAACAGCCTAAGAGATCAATGGCCCCAAATTGGTTAGGACATGATGACATAAGGTGGGATACAGAAATGAAGAGCCCTCGTGTGATGATGAAGTGGTGTAGATGGATGCTGGGGAATTGGGGTCAACTTGTGTGACCTGAAAAGGTCCAAGCCAAAGAAACTAGACGGAAAGAGGTGGGCAGAATGGGAATTGCCAGTAATACATTCTTGGGAAGCCACCAGTTTAGAGCCCAGGAGAAAGCACCAGGTGCCAGTTTAAAGACTGTTGTCACGGGTTTGTTGACCCTCATTTGGAAATGAGCTCAGCTGAGGTCACTGGGAAAGCAGAGACCATGGAGAAGCCATTGCCTGGTGGACAACCATACACCATACCCGCCCTTAGCAGTGGGAGTGAGATGGAGCAGCAGCAGGAGAGTAGTCCTGGGAGATGACAGAGGCGGTAGCCATGGAGTCTTGGAGTTGTCAGCTGCTGCAGAGGCCATTAGGGGAAAGGGACGAATTGAAGACTAGAAGGGAAAGGAAGGTTGGAGGACAAAAGTAGAGGCATTGGTCTCTGATAGGTAAAGGGTTTGTGAAGGGAGGGGTCAGCTAAGGGGCTCAAACAAGAATTGAAGTCCCTATATTAGCTTTCACCATGGAAAGCAGGAAGGGGGGCTTGCTGTAGGGACAGGACAGGGAGACACCAGAACTAGACAACCACATTGTGGGACAGGAACAAGACTGCTGGGAGGCCACAGCAGAGGTGATGCTGTCATTGTCTTTTTCTGGGAGTTTCTTTTCTTTCATTCTTTTTTTTTTTTTTTTTTTTAAAGGTCTCATTCAAAAGACTGTCCTGGAACTCACTTTGTAGACCAGGCTGACCTGAAACTCAGAGAGATCTGGCTGCCTCTGCCTCCCAAGTACTGGGATTAAAGGCGTGCACCACTGTGTCCAACTTTTTTTCTGGGATGTTCTATCCAGCATTTGTTGACCTGATGGTCACTGGCTTCACCTGATATTTAGTGAAGTGGTTGAAAGAACTGGACATGGAGGCACACATCTGTAATTGCAGCACGGGAGGCCGACAGGAGACAAGAGGGTCTTCCGTTCCAGGTCAGCTTGGCCTACACAGTAAGAATCTATCTCAAATTAAATAGAAGACAGCAGATTTTGCAGGGAGGCCTTGAGAATATAATTAGACCTCAGTTTCCCTAGCAAAGAGAGTTGGCTGGATATGGTACCTACAGCTCCTATTACCTAAGCTTCTATGAAATGGCTCACAGTGGGGTCTGGGCAGAGTCAGAAAGGCTATCCTGGCAAGGCTATGGGAGATGGGGGTGGTGGGGAGAATCTTGGTTACCAGGGGATTTGGGCCTTCAGGATCAGGAGGAGAGAGAATTGTAACACCAGGAAGATGCAGAGTGGAGTTGTCCATTTAGGTCAGTCCACCTTTGTGATTCCCCAGTCCTCCCATTCTCTGTATTTCATTGAATTTTATTTGCTCCTCCAAGCAGCCATGGGTAGAGGTCAAAGTCTACACTGAGAAATTAGCTATGGTAACAAGTGCACACTGCTGAATGCCCAGGGTCCCAGTCTTCTCTGTCTCTGACCCCAGGCTCTGTCCCCATTCTGAGCCCTTCCCTTGACTCATTTTGAGTGCCACTCATTTTATGACTAACAATAAAAGTGGCAGGAACAGGTCAACTTATGACAATTGCTAGCCACATGCTAAGCCCTGTCCACCTTCTCACACAGTTCTTAGAAGGGAAAAAGCCTTA